GAAGAATTAAAAAATTCATTCAAAGATAGCTAAAGGTCGGTACGTTTGTAGGCCTCACACCCCTTTTCAAATAGCCCACATTTTCTCCATGACTATGGGCTTGATTTCAACTATAAACATATCTCCATACAAAGTTCCAGTACTGTACCATGAATACTTTCAGAGATATGCAGTATAAAAATTCGATTTATATGGGAGGTGCCACGCCCCCCTTTCCAACAGCTGCCCTCTTTCTTCATGAGTATGCGATTGATTTCGTATATCTCCATACCAATTTCCAAAACTCTACCATGCACACTTTCAGAGATATGTAGCATGAGAAATTCGGTTTGTATGGGAAGTGCCACGCCCCCTTTACATATAGATTTTTTTCAGCCTAAAACCATCCTTGGGACACGTGCGGCAGGTGGCAGTTTCAAAAAAATCGGTTCAGCCGCTCTCGAGCCTTGCGAAAACTAACAAACGGCTTTCTAAATATATATTAGTTGAGATATATTATATATTATAATTATATTTTGACAGTATCCGTTGTTTCTGATTGGCGCAAAAAAATCTTGCCTAGTGACGAATTCGCCCCTTGATATGGTCGTTACTTAAAGCTATTTATATTCGAAATTGCATGAAAATTGGAAAACAGGAATCTATAAGCTTATCCAGGCAAAAAGCTACCTACGTACCGAATTTCAAGCAAATCGGACCATAAATACGATTTTCTGGAATAGATCGGTCCCTGGTCCACTTCGGGTAAAAAATTTATCACATATGCTAATAAATGCTAAAAAGCTACCTGCGCACCGAATTTTAGGCAAATCGGACCGTGAATTCGATTTTTTCGAATAGATCGATCCCTGGACCACTTCCCGGAAAAAATGGGTCATATATGGTAATATATGCTAAAAAGCTACTTACGTACTAAATTTTAAGCAAATCGGACTATAATAAGATTTTTTCGAATAGACCGGTCCCTGGTNCAGCTTTGGAAGACAACATTTCCGAAGAAATTCGGGCTATTCCGGCCGAAATGCTCGAAAAAGTTGCCCAAAATTGGACTTTCCGAATGGACCACCTAAGACGCAGCCGCGGTCAACATTTAAATGAAATTATCTTCAAAAAGTAAATGTCATGGACCAATCTAACGTTTCAAATAAAGAACCGATGAGATTTTGCAAATTTTATGCGTTTTTTTTAAAAAAAAAAGGTATCAAGCTCTTAAAAAATCACCCGTTAGTATAGATTTTAAGAAAGTAATCAAAGCGGAAAATTGAACACAAGCCCGCTAAAAAATAAAAGCACTACATTTGTGCCCCTCTTTCGTTTTGACTTTAATTCTAAGCATATAAATTAAGCAAATTCTTTGAAATTCCTCATAATGCGATTAAGTCTCTTTTTTTATTTGTTACTCTGTTTCAACCTTCTGCTGGGTGCCTCCATATACATACATAAGTATGTGTGTGTGTGTATGTGTGTATGTGTATAAGTACTTACTGATATGCTTATGCAATTAACATATTTATATAGTATATTATCCTGAGCGTTTGTCTTTAATTAGCAGTGCGTAAAGTCTTCCTATTTACACATGAGTGGTTGGGTGGTTGTTTGTATGCATAAACAGCGGTGCATGTGTGTGTGTGTATATGTGGATAATTTTGATGTAGCTAACAGAAATTTCTTGAGAGTTTTATTATCTTTGTGATAAATACATATATATACGTATCTATGTCAAAAAGAAGAAGGTTGACTTGACTTGAATGCACCATTCTCCTTATTACCCAAACAAAATACAAGGAATTTTTTCATGAGACTTGATGAGAATCCGCTGCAATAATTTATTATACATACACCGAAAATAAAATTTCGTAAAAATGCTACGAAAAACTTTCGTAGTCTTGGTTTTCGTACAACTTTCGTTCATAATACGAACAATTTTTCACAACCATTCGTAAATATAACGAAAGTTTTAAAATATACGAAATCTAAAATTCTGTATTCGTCACTTTCGTGAAATATGAAATTGTGTGGACATTTTTTTTCTTTTTATGATGGTTACACTTGGAGTTATGGGCTTCCAAAAATAGTAAAAACTAAAATCAGAATTTTTCTAAGCACTTTTTCGTATTAAAA